GTAATGAAAGGCTTCCCTTCCTCTTCCTACTCCTATGGCTTTTTGTTTACTCGGTGTTAGAAATACATTATTTGTAGTTTTGATGTTTAGGTTGCCGTAAATATCATCAGCATCAACCCTTTCCAACAGATTCCTTGTGTGGCTGAAGGATTTAAGGAGATGCCATCGACAAATGTGCTGAATGGCTATATTGATTATTTTCAGCTGAAATTCCATTGTAACTTCAGAAAGAACCATTTGGCCTGTCTTCCACATGCAGCAACCCATAAAAAGTTCTTTTGGGAGGGACGTCCTTCACATACCGACGCTGGAAAACAGCCTCAGTCAACACACACTGGTATTTGAGGCTGCAATGAACCTGAATAAACAAACTTTGAAGTAACCTTTATCTTTCAGTAGCTTCTAAACCCTCGTCCATAATATCTCTTTGTAACATTCCCAAGATATATAGCCTAGTCCAGATGTCGCTTTGTCCTCTCTTTCTTCACAAATTTATTCCTTTTTTATCTCAAAAAGTATGAAAAGCATCACACTTTGGTCATTTATTCCAATTTCACTCTCTCATGAATCTGTGCACGGAAATTTAATACAAATTTCATGTTCTCCTCTTGTATTTCTTGAGTTCCTAGATTCAACCAAGGAGCCCACATAAGAACTATTGCAAAAGAAAGAGGGGATTTCTTCCCACCCTACAGGGCACAATTTATCTGTATACTTCCCTTGCCCCACACGTGGGAACATCCATTTCTCTAAGCATCCCCAGTCCCTTTGAAAAGAGAATTTGGAAACATAGAACTGAACTCTAGATGTGCTCCTCCCTTAGTAGGAATTCTAATGAAGTGATTCTCATCACTTCAAGATTGGCTCACTGAACAGTTTGCTGTTTTGTTTTGTTGTGAAATCATGAGTTCGTAATGACATTCTCAATTTAACAACGTACTTTTCTTATAGATTTCATTACTATGTGTTTCTATTTCATTTGCTACAGAGAGAGACAGCGATCCCCTACTTGCAGGTTCACTCCTTAAATGCCTTGAAGAGCCAGGTTGGGGCCAAGCCAAATCCAAGAACCCAAAACTCAATCCAGGTCTCCTATGTAGGTGGCAGGGACCCAAGGACTCCTGATATCACCCACTGTTTCCCAGGATACATATTAGCAGAAAGCTGAATTAAAAGAGGAGTAGCTGGGTGTTACAGGAGGCACCCTGATAGGGGATGTGGTTGTCCCAGGTGCTGATCTAACCACTGATCCAAATGCTTGCCTCCTATACCTTAAATCCTGTATCTGTATCTTTTTGTTTTATACCATAAATCTTGACTTGGCATATCATTAATACATTCACATTTTTGCTTTCCTGTGAAATCTGTGTATGTTTGTGTACATGTATGTGTGCATTTATTTTGAATTATAACTGTATTGCTACTAGCAACAATGCTATTGAGTAATGCTAAAAACTTCTTGCAGCCCTTGTTGTTTTTGGAATACAAACCATTAAGTATGAGTCATCTATATTTAACTGTGCTGACAAGTTAGCTGAATTGACAGGTTTCGCCATGTGGCTGTATTATAAAATTTATAAATATTTAGATTTAATTTCTTTGGAGGTTCAATTTTAATGCTTATATTCTCCTGTGAGTTTAATTTTATTTTTGTATATGTAAAAAATTAAAATTGCTTAAAAATCAAACTGTATAAGGAAACATACTTAGAGGAATACAGGTCTTTAATCTCATTTATAACCATTTTCACTGGATTACATTCGTAACTACCGAGATATATTTTACATAACATAAAATTCTCCCCTTTAAAGGTACAACTTAGTGTCGTTTTAGTATATTTGTAGGGCTGTATAACTGTCACCACTCTCTAATTTCAAATATTTGCATCACCTCATAAAGAAACCTCATTATCAATCACACCCCTCTCCTGACACTCTGACTTCCCAGCCTTCAGCAATCACTAATCTGCTTTTTGCTTCAATAAACTACCTTTTCTTGACATGTCGTATTACATACATGGAATTAACACAGCTCATGGTGTTTCATGAATGCATTCTTTCACTTAGTATGTGTTCAATGTTCATCCATGTTGTAGCATTATCAATATTTTGGTTACTTTTATGGCTAAATAAACTTCAATTGCATGAAAATACCACATTCTGTTTCTTCATTCATTAATTGATGGACATTTCAGTTGTTTCGACCTTTTGAATAATGATGTTATGAGCATTTATTTCTAAGTATTTCATGGACATTTTTGGTTTGTGTAACTTGGATATACCTGGACATCTGCCAGGGAAATTGCTAGGGCATGTCATAATTGCATTTAACTACCTTTGGGATCACATTTTTTTTTAAGTAGCTTATTATGCTTTATTTGTCAAAAAAAAAAATCCAAGTATATTCTTACTATCTCTCTCTCTCTCACGTGCGCAGTTTTACTATTAAGAGAACACTCCACAGGTACAGTTCCCAGAAGACAACCACACTTCCCTCACTCCCTCCCCTGCTTTCCTCAATATGCTCCCTCCCGTTTACATCAGCATTTGCAAAAACATCGCTTTAGTCCACTTCATATTCATAGGCCTAAACTGCCACTAGCCAACAAGTAAAATGTAGCAATAGCACATTTCCACTTGAGTATAAACATGAATACAAATGACAATAAGAAAAGCCATATTTTACTCTATTTTATACCTTGAATTTGTTGTTATTTATCCAGTTTACTAACATCCTGCAAATCACTGTCAAGGTCATAGGGATTGCCTCCATTCTTTTATATTTTTTTGTTTTTAGACTGCATAATACTGTTATTGAATATGTTCTCACTCAGCTAGGTTCCTATTATTTCATATTTCTGTTAATTCTGAACTTTTACCATTAAAACTCATGTTGCAGTGGCAAAACTTGTGCATATGCTGTTGCTGTTTTGTATTTGAGAAAGTATGTCTTTGGATATCTACAAGTTAGTTTATTGAGTCAAAGAGTAAGTGAAAATGCAGGTGTGCTCAACACTGTAATGATTCCAGGACTACACTGCATTCACATCAACAATACATTAAGGGGCCTGCTTCTCTAGGGTCTTTCAATGAAGAATGTGGTCAAGCACTAGGATCTGTTATTAAAAACCCTGGAGCCAATGTTGTGGCATGGTGGGTAAAGCCACCACCTACAGTGCCAGCAATCTATATGGATACTAGTTTGTGTCCTGGCTGCAGCCCTTCCAATGCAGCTCCCTGCTAAGAGCCTGGGAAAAGCAGCATCAGGTGGCTCAGGTGTTTGAGCCACTGACATCTACCCTGGAGATCAGGATGAAACTCCTGGATCCAGGCTTTAGCGTTACCCAGCCCTGGCTGTGTGGCCACCTGCAAAGTGAACCAGTGGATACAAGATCCTCTTTCTCTCCCTCCCTCCTTCTATAACTCTGACTTTCAAATAAACAAGTAAATCTCTCTTTTAATAAGTAAATAAATAAATCAGTGGTGACCCAGTGTAGGTTTCATTCACACTTTTCTTATGCCGAGCATTGAGCAAGCTTAAGCATGTCATCATATATTTAGGGGTATCTACCTTCCTATTTCTGAGATCTAGCTGTATCTCCTTTTGTTTTAGGCAATTTGAAGATGAAGTTTGCTGAAGTAAACCAAGCGGTTACTGACTGGATGAGACAGGCACCCCAATTAGATGGAGGCAGGCATGCTGTCACACTCGGCTAGTAGAGACATCAATTAAATTAAACCTTTGGCTTCTACTGTCTACTGAGGCTTCTAGAATGTCACTAGGTCCACTCCTCTCATGTTACAAATGACAACATGAGGCCTGGGGTATGAGTGCGGTTTTCTTCAAGTCACATAGAAAACTTGCTGTAGACCTGGAACTTGAACCCAAAGTCTCCTTCTCCCAGAGCAAATTCAAGCTAACATGTCAATGACTTGGTGAGTTCTGTACTTCTACTAAGATCAACACAAATTACTTTCTTGAGAGAGAAAATGCCTTTGTCATGCTCTCTGTTAGCCTAAATTGCAAATACTGGCACGAAATAGAAAAGTCATGTTGACTGTTAATTCTGACTACTAACTGCACTTGTAGCTAGAATACTCATTTGTAATACGAGTATCCCAAAATCTTAGAAGGACAGATCACATGATAGCTTCTATCACAGAAGCCAAACTTCACAAAGGCAGAATCTGGGGCTTCATGATGGAGAGAGGCCAAGGGAACCATTAGCCAAAAGTCTCACCTTCACTAAGGGTCTTAGATGTTTGAGATAGTCTCCAAATAGGATTCAAATAAATTGTTACCCCATTTTGTGAGTGCTGACAGATTTATCTGCTAAATACATGCACTTAAAATTCATTATAATTTTTCTCAACATATTTTTACATTTGTTTTCCATTTATTGTATCAGGAGTGACCTTGTAAACAATCGATTCATGGTCCTCAATGGAGGTAAGAGCAGATCTGAAACTAGAAACCGGACTTGCTGCTTCCTGGACAGAGTGAAATCTTCCTGCTCTCTGGAAAGCTGCTGTTACTATGTGCCATACCACGGCAAGAGGTTCATCAGAATCTTCACAACAACTCCCCTTTCCTGAGAATCTCCTACGTGCCGTGAACTTTGTTTTTGAGTCTAATCCAAAGAACAGTCCTACTTGGTCGGCATTACTATAAGTCTTTGCTTTGTATAGATGGCCAACATAGACTCAAGAGGTTTGACTAAGTAAGTTGTACCACTGGGATTTAAAACTAGGTTCCTCTAACAGCAAAGCTTGGTTGCAGCACACTCCAACCGTGAAGGGTAAATGCATCAAGCAGGACAAACCAGATACATGATTCTGATAGACAGGGATGAAAGCAAAGCCATTTTCCTCACTCAGTGTACCGCCTACAGTGGATGCAGGTGGGCACTGGAACTTCAGAATCTGCAAGGCAATTTCCCTGTAGTTCTCCTTCATAGGCAGTCCTCTATTAGGAACTGTTTCTACTCAGCAGTTACTTACTTGACCAAATGTCTTATAAGAAGTTCCAGCATCTCTCGGTTCTTTTCTGGTAGCTTATATACCAGGGAGTGAATGGCTCCCAGCCGGTAATCCAGGTTGTCCGACTCTGAGACAGATAAATAATAGATGGTTTAGCTTTCTGAGTGCTTGGATTGAACAAATTCTCATATGCATATGCATACACAATACACACACATAGATGCAACAACAACAAAAAAATATCTCTATAAGCAATGGAAAAAGACAGGGAGACAAATAGGCAAAAACAATGTCAGAGAGCCCAAGAAACAAAGAACAATGTTCAGAGAAAAGCACAACAGAACAAAGAAATGCAAGGGGTATTCAAAAAGTTAACACAAAAAATGTATATTATGAAAAAACTTATGCATGATTTCAAAATTTTGTGCCAAAATAAACTTATATTTTAAGTCCATTTTGTCATGATCTTTTTGAAGTACCATTAGTAAACATAACATGATAAAAAGAAAGAAAGAGAGAGAAAGAGAGACAGAGAGACAGAAGAGAAGAAAAAGATTAGAAGAGATGACAACATTGACTTCAGGGATATAAGCATTACTGTGACACGTTTGTCCTAATGAGCCTCACATGAACTTCTAACTGGAAACCTTTCCCATCTACCTTCCTTCTACAGAGTGGTACATATTCCTCCAAGTTCTTGTGGGGGAAAAGGCCATTAAGAAAGCCCAGAAGTTAAGACCAAAGTTCCCAGTCCCAGCATGATGGCTCAGTGGCTAAATCCTCGCCTTGCATTCATTGGGATCCCAGATGGGCACCAGTTCATGTCCTGGTTCCTCCACATCCCATCCAGCTCCCTGCTTGTGGCCTGGTAAAAAGTCAAGGATGGCCCAAAGCCTTGGGACCCTGCACCAACATGGGAGACCTGGAGGAAGTTCCTGGCTCCTGATTTCAGATCAGCTCAGCTCCAGCCATTGTGGCCACTGGGGGAGTAAATCAGCAGATGGAAGGTCTTTTTCTCCACTTTTCCTTCTTTCTGTAAATCTACTTTGCCAATAAAAATAGTACCTTAAAAAAAAAAAAAAGACCAAAGTTCCCTTGCCTTACCTAACACCTAGGATGCGGTCAAGTCCCCTGACCCTTTTCCCTGAACATCACAGGGGCATGAGGCAGCGCAAGAGACATTTAGAGGGAAGGGAGAAACACTCACAGAGTGGCCTCAGTCAAAAATTAATGCTTCCTCTGGTGCCCACTTTTGGGGGTGAGTCTATATTATCTTAACTTTCTGTGTAGTCCTCCATTGTTACCCTAAGTTTTCTCCTGAGGAAAATGTGATAAATGTGATACTAATACAAACTAATTGGTTAGGGACAGTGATTCACAGCAGAACTGAAATGCACCTGAAAAGGTAATGCTGAAACAGCAACTGTAATGTGACCATTTTTGCTCTGTCTTAACGTGAGCCATTGCTCCTATTCTGGTGTTAGAGAGAACACCGACTTTACAACTGTTATATGCCTCAAGTTGACCAGTTTGCTCCAACCTATTTAAGCATCATTAATTTATGAAAAAACTACACAACTCTTGAGTTAAGGCGGACAGCAGGAATATGCTCATCTGGCAGTGGGCAAAATCTGTGTATGTGTTTTTGCCCTCAATCACCCTCCCTCCACCAACATGCTAGTCCCACTGCAATAAACCTTACACGGAAACTAGAACAATACAATTAACTAGTAACACAAATACTTACTGGCAGCAGAGACCAGTTCTTTGTGAAGCCTATAGGTCATGACAGGTTCAGAAAGATTCCTGAAATTAATGAAGACTGTTAAGTTCCTTTGGGGAGTTTCAGCTCCGTGGGCAGTGAGGCTGAAGTTTCTGAGCCCCACAGCTCACTTTGATTACAAATATTTTTCTCTCCACTCGAAGGCTTGTTAGGAAAACCCAAGTTGCTAGTAATTCAATAGAAAATCAGCAAAAAATATCAGCTGAAGCTTCTAGCAAGATCTGCAGTTTGCTTTCAGAAGCAAAAGAAGGTACAAATCAGTTCTGCAAAATTTGAAATTGCATCCACTCTGAGCCCTACCATGGATCCCTTACAATTTGATACTTCCATTGAATTTCCAAAGTAGTTTTGCACCTAACTTACTATTTGACCCTTCCAGCGATCCAGTGAGATAGAGCAGTTACCCAAACTCTTATTCAATGGAAGAGAGAAATGAGGGTCAAATCTGTTTCTTCCCTTAGTCAAAAAAAAAAAAAAAAACATTACATGGGCACCTACTTATGCCTGACACTGTAAGATACTGGGAATCCAAAACTGAGTAAGACAAATTCTAAACTTTCATCAGGTCTAGTTAAAGGGATACCATCTACAAAATCTACAGTGCAATGGGACAAGTGTGATAAAATAAAAGTACATGGCAGGTGGCTCAGAGGAAGTAATGAAAACTGCTACCAGTGATGATGGTCATAACATACTGTTCTGTCCTAAGAGAGTCTCATGCATAAATTCATTTAAACTTCATGGCATTTATTATCTCTACTTTAAAGATGAGGAAACAGAGGCACAGCAAACTTTAAAAAAATCATCCAAGTTTTTACATCTAAGAAGTGGCAGGGCAGGTAGTTTGTGTCCAGAGTTCACACTGTTAGTCACGATGCTATACTGCTTACCACTGTTATTGCTGTAATAATCAAGGCTAGAGAGGAGAGGAATACTTAAACAGAAATAGTAAAAGCAGAGATAGAAAAGGTGAAGACAAAGTTTTTAACGATGACAAGATAGAACGGCTTCATTGTGTATGGATAGTGAGAGACCTAAGGAATTGGTTTTAAGTGAAAAAAAAAAGAATTGATTAAAAGATAGGTAAAGATGCTAAATTAGAGAAGTCTCAGGGTGCATAAGGAGAGATGATTATGAAGAAATGGATGGGGAGTAGAGGAGTGCATTAAGCTACCACCTGTAATGCTGGCATCCTATATGGACAGAGATCCAAATTCTAGCTTCTCTGCTTACAAACTATCTCACTTATAACATACCTGGGAAAGCAGTAAGAAGATGGCCCAAGTACTTGGAACTCTGAACCCACGTGAGAGACTTAGCTGGATATCCAGGCTCCTGGTTTTGGCCAAGTCCAGCCACTGCCATTGCAGCCATTTGAGGTGTGTACCAGTGGATGGAAGATCTCTCTCTTGATGTGTCTCTATCTATTCCTGCCTCTCTCTCCGAAAATCTACTTATTAAGCAAACAACTGAAAATTTCTAAAGTGGATGCAGTACCGTTCCAATTCTGAAATTCACATACATTGATCATGAAAACAGGGAGGGGGATGTGAAGCCATGAGAAGAGAGCGGCAGAAATGGTCAGGATTGATAGGCAGTTTTATTGGACCCTTTGGTATTTCTTGTTTATCCAGTATGGTATGTAAAAAATGAAATGGAATCGAATCAGTGACAAAGGCAGGAAAAGTCAAATATTTCCTATGAAAATTGATAGTTCCCATCTCTGCAGAGGAACGGAAAGATGTGGATTGACGAGGCCAACGTGGTTACCTGAGGAAATCATGAATTCTATTTTTGTGTCTAAACAAAGGTTTGCTGTGCAACTAAAGGTCCAATATATGATGTGATGTGTGTAACACAAAAACCAGCCTATTCATTTTTGTTTCCTGCCTCAAGTAAACACTTGAGTTTTCCCTCCCTGTAGTTTAGTAACAAGAGAATGATGCCCTGGGAAATAACCAGACATGCCACAGAGAGTTCTGCCAAGAGCAGCCAAAGAGGTAAGAGAAAAGCCAAAAACAAGTGATACAGCAGACTCAAAACGAGGACAAAGTTTTCTGGAATGCTTGTTAACTGTTTCAAATGCTACAAAAAAGATCAAGTGAGGAAAAGACTGACAAGTTCTCTTTGTGTGCAACACTGAGGGCATCACTGATGGCCTTGGTAAAAGCAGTCCGACGGAGCAAAAGGGGTGAGAGCCAGATTACAATGAGATAAGAGTAGCGGGCAGCTAACACATGGAGGCGGGAGGTTTGTACATCTTGTTACAAAAGCTTGATTGGAGGTTTGGAGTATCTCAATTGACATTCTTACTAAAGTCTGGACTCAAATAATCTACAGTAACTTCCAAGAATTTAGCAAGAGCCTTGAACTCATCAGTGAGTTTCAGACTTTCTATCCAACTACCTGCTTAATGTGGTGCTCCAATTTCTTCAAAGGCACAGAGTTTTGAATTATCCAAAACCCAACTTATTGTCTCCCTCGAATCTAGTCTTCTTTGTGTTTCTCAAATCCATACGTATGGCCACCACTTGGTTGAGTAAACCACAGACATGAAAGTCTCCCATTCACCTCCTTCTCCCTAATTCACACACCTAAACTCATAAATATTTTTTTTCCTAAATCTCTTCAATATGTTTATTTCTACAAATCTCTATTGCTAACCCTGAGTTTTAGGAGGAATATCATCTCCTGCCTGAGCCACAGCAATAGCCTGCTCACTGCTTTTGACCTCTATCTGTATTGTCTTCTCCTAATTCAATCTCTCTATCATCTTTGTGCAAAATACAAATCTTACTATGCAATATTCTGCTTAACATCTTTCATTATATTCCCACTCTTTTTAATACTAACATAGGGGCTCAGCACAATGGCTCAATGGCTAAATCCTTACTTTGCATGCACCGGGTTCCCATATGGGTGGGTACCAGTCCATGTTTTGGATGCTCCACTTCTCTGTTTTTGGCCTGGGGAAGCAATGGAGGACTACCCAAAGCCTTTGGATGCTGCATCTGTGTAGGAGACCAAGAAGAAGCTCCTGGTTCCTGGCTTTGGATTGGCTCAGCTTTGGGCATTGTGGCCATTTGGGAAATGAACCAGTAGATGGAAGATCTTTTTCTCTGTCTCTCCTTCTCTCTGTGAATCTGATCTGCCTTTCCAATGAAAATAAATAAATCTTTTTTAAAAAAACTAATGGAGATCTTCATTTTCCAGAAGTCAAATTAGACCCAGCATGCTATGATCCCTGCAGAGTTCCCCCTCCCTTTCTCTACTCAATTTTACACCTGGTGAGATCTTCCAAGTAAATGCATCCATTCATCACATTTTGTCAAATCTATACATTTATTATCTCCTTTCTGTTCACCTTCCCACCCTCGATTAAATCACAACTTCTTTAAAGGCAGAAATCATATCTACTTGCAACTGCATGCCTCCTGCCTAATATTGTTTTTGACACAGAAGAGGTCAGTATTCAGGCAATTTTTATTGAATGATTTACTGATTTAGAGATGTGTATTACTGGATCGTATTTATACACTGAGAACAAAGAACCAGTTTTTATCAGAATATCTCTTTCATTCATTTATTTACTTATCTCAGAGTGAGGGGGGAGGGAGAGTGAGTGAAAAGAGGAGAGTTTCGGCCCATTGGTTCATTCCCTAATTTCCCACAACAACCAAAGCTGGGCCATGCCAAAGTTGAGAGCTTAGAACTGAACCCAGGCCTTCTAAGTAGGTGGCAGGCATCTGACCAGTTGAGTGATTACTGCTGCCTCCCACATGAGCATTAGTCTATATCACCAGGAAGCTAGTAGGAAGTTGAGTCAGGAAGCAAACCCAGATATACAAATGTGAGGTGCAGATATCTTAATCAAAGTCTTAACCCCAAGAACCAGCTTAATGAGGAAGGCTAAAGATGCAGGAGAGAGAAGAAACATTGTTTTGAGTACTTTCTGGAAATACTTTTAAGAAAAGGAATGATTAAAACAGATGGAGACTCACTCTGAAAACACTACCCTGCAGAAATCTAAAAAAGATGCCAATCGGCTGGTTTATAGCAAGCCTAATGGAAGATTATCTCTGGAGTCACTTACAGGAGATGCTGCCCACTGACGCTCTCATGCTCAACCTTTCCATAGGGCTACAGTGCTTATTATAAGATGAGGCAAGAAGGAAATAATGTAGGGAAGCCTTAAATTATGTATATAGATATTTAGATATTTATAAATATATTTACATATATGACATTTTTACTCCTTTGAGAGAGGTTAAAGACACAAATAACTTGCTCCCATAATTCTCATTATTCCTAATTTTCTAAAAATATTAATAACAGATTTGTCTTTACCAAAATGCCCAAAATGCACAACTCCTGGAAACAGGAGGAGAGGAAGATGATGTCACACAGCAAGGTTGAAATAATGATAGCTGTAACCACAGATGTTACTAAGTGGGGCAAGAGGTGTGTTTCAGTTTCCTCATCTGTAAAATGAGTTTATCACTCACAGTACAGTTACTGGGAGAGAAAAAAACACACAATGGCACTGTCCATGTAAACAACTAGCACAGGACACTGCGCAGAACAAACCCTCGCATAGCTCTTCCTTCCTTTTCAGTAAATGCAGAAGGAATAGTTCTGGGAAGAACATTCGTGTTTACCTAAACTCTCAAGATTATACTATAACAGAAAGTTGTTTAGAAGTAATATGTATTGCTTCTCAACTTTTTGGCTAAGATCAAAATGCAGTAACAGTAGATTTGTAAGACCCAATCTATTTTAGATTACTGATATGGACTTTAAGTATCAATCTTAATGAGTAAAAGGCAAAGTATTTGAAAATAAGACATTTTTAACACAAAATACGTTACCTACTACGGGACATAAATGAATAGGAACAAAATATAGACACACATGTTCAAACACGTTAATTCTTGTTCAAAGGCAAACTGATGTTTCAAAATTGCTGTTATCCAGTAAAACATGCTATCAAAGCTAAATTGTAAAAAGTCACGTTTTTACTAGTGCATTCATCATATCACTCCATCTACAAATAGCAAAACCTCAATTACTTCATGGGCCCAGTTCATAAAAATATTACTATATTCTAAAAATATTTTGAAAGCTTTTTTTGTCCAGTAATGATTCTATCATTTATGCCTCCTTTGCTTAAATTTTACAGTTAAATAAGAAGAAGTCTGGCAATGCACTCTTCTTCATCAGAAAAAAAAAAAAAAGAAATCCTAGTCATTTGTTTGCTTGAGCAAATCTACTTAAACTCCTGAATTCAGTACCACATTAGTTGCAATCACCACTTCGACTCATTTAATCAAGCATAGAAATCAAACTCCCAAATTAAAGCAGGCATACCTGAGGTAGAATTTTAAAGAGCTGGTGATTGTCTTAATGTCCCAGTCACTGTTATAAAAATCAACATCTCCTGGGCACTTGGGATCTATTGAGAAGAGGAAATAAGAAAAGTTAATTTTCTACAATATCTTACTTTTTACAACCTTTTCAAAGAAAAGTGCGTTACCCTATTATGCCCCATTGTCTATCCATAAGACACTGATACATTTCAAATTGAGTAATGAATATAGAGCTTTTGGTAACTTTGCAATGCACATTATGTTACTGAAATGTTCACAGAATTGAAAGCTTGGGAGTATTTAAAACATAATGACTGTAGCCAGTTTGCAAGAAATCAAAACTTGACAAAATGGAAGTCTTACGGTGTTTCAAAATGCCCTTGCATTTTGCTTTGGCATGTAAGGAGCATGGAGGCTACCTGTCCCATGCACAGAAAGAAAAGGCTGAATAAACTGAGCTAACTCCTCCTAGATCCATCCTAAAACTGAGGTCATAGAGCAAGCCACTGCCCCCAGCAACAAGGATACAGAACATAGCAAGCATCAAAGCATATTAGAGCAAAGAAGGAAAGGGGCAGAAAACTCCTTAAGAACCAGTACCCATGCCAAGAAGATCTACTTTGTTATGGACAAATTGCTAGTGGCTCAATCCACATAAACCCGAGCATTTAAGACTCCATAGGGGTGAATACATTCAGGGGGAGGGGACCGCCACATTTTCGTAAATTAAACCTGAACGTTTAAATCTTTTAGATTCTCACAATAAATATTAGCAAATCCATTCATGCTTCCAGACTACAGAGAAGAACAGAAATAATGTAGCCATTTTAAAATATACCCTAAGCCTTCTATTTTTTAGCAAGACCTGCCCCCCAAAAGAGAAACTGTTTTTCCAGACCCCGGATTATTACAATCTTATCAGAACTAACTGATGCAGGTGAAGGGAAACCATCAACTCCAAACTTAGCTTGCCTTCCTCAATCTCCTAGATGGGGAAAACAATAAAAAAAAAAATCTGAGGAATGCAGGGCAGTGGCACATCTCTCACTAAACATCACGGCCCAGATCACAGGTCTATGAAACACTTCCGCTCTCTGGACATCTTATCGCTTCATCAGCAAGGCTTCTTTATAATAACAAGGAAACATGATCAAAACAATTATGCTTCCCAGATGATAAATATTTAAGAAGTCTCACAGGAGACAAAAACAAGGAAACTAGGGGGCAAGTTTAACTTTTATCATTTACAGTTAACAACACACAGTAAACACAAATGAAACCCTAGACACACAAAATAAAGACCTATACATCTCAGTCTCTTTTCATCATTTTCTCATGTCTGGCTTATCACAAAATATGAAATGGTATACTGAAAGACAGAAAACACAGTTTGGAGAGCCACAGCAACATCAAAATGAGATTCAGATAGGACAAAGATGTTGCAATTATCAATCCAGTAATTTAAAACTGCTATGATTCATAAGTTAAATGCTATAATAAATAAAATGACAATATTCAAAGGAGATGGAAATATAAGGAGATGAAAACTTTAACAATCAAAAGCAAACTCTAGAAATGATGAACATTATAAAAGACATTAAGAATGGCTTTGATGAGTTCATCAATACACAGGGCACAGAAGATGAAATAATCAGTGAGTCAGAAGATATGCCAACACAAAGTTCCAAAACAAGAAAGAAAAAAAAAAAAAACACCACAGAATATCCAAGAACGCTGAGAAAAATAACATGTATAAGAAGCATACAATAGAGGGCCTGGCATGGTAGCCTAGCGACTAAAGTCCTCGCCTTCCTCGCACATGCTGGGATCCCATATGGGGACTGGTTCGAATTCCAGCAGTCCCACGTCCCATTCAGCTCCCTGTTTGTGGCCTGGGAAAGCATCTGAAGACAGCCCAAAGCCTTGGGACCCTGCACCTGCATGGGAGACCCGGAAGAGGCTCCTGTCTTCAGATCAGCTCAACTCCAGCCGCTGTGGCCACTTGGGGTGTGAATCAACGGATGGAAGATCTTCCTCCCTGTCTCCTCCTCTCTGTATATCTGATTTTACAACAAAAACAAATAAAAATTTAAAAATATATACTAGTATTATAAGGAGAGAAAATGAATAGGGAAAAAAGAAATAGTAGTAATAGTTATAGAATTTCTGAAAGTTAATGCTAAAATGCGAAGCACGGATAAGGAAGCTCAGATGCCAGGAACCAGGAAATTACGCAAGAAGAAAATCTCTATGTCAGAATCTCATACCTCAAACTCAAAACAAACAAATAAAAGCAAAACAAAAGCAATCAAAACACAAATCTAAGGATCTAAACAAAGCCACAAAGCCCCCTGTTCCTGTGGAGGAACACGGATAAAAATTATATACAAGTTCCCTTCAGGAATGATACAAAGAAAGTGGAGTGAAATTATTGTGTTAAGGGACAAAAATGTGACTTTCAAACACTCAGCAGTTTCCTCCCCAGGTTGAAAGGAAGCAGTGCTATGGCGAGTACAGCTCTGTCTCAGACCCTCTCCTTGGCATGGGACAGAATGAGCAGGAGATAAGCTCTAGTTCTCAGCTGCTCTGGAAGGAAAGAAGGAACTAGAACAACTCTCTGATGCGCAAATCTCTCGAGCTGCACTCCAAGGGAGTGGAATCTAGCCCACATCTCTCAAAGAAACAGCATGACTTTATAATAATCTCTAATTTCATTGGAATCAGTAATCATAAAGATGTCAATTTGGCAAAAATCACAGAATTTGACAATACTTAGAATTTCTTGACTTTTTGGTGTTTTTTTTTTATTTGTTTTTATTATTTTTTGAAAGGCAGAGTTCCAGAAAGAAGTAGAGACAGAGATCTTCCATCCACTGTTTCACTCCCCAAATGCCTGCAAAGTCTGGAGCTGAGCCAATCGAAAGCCAGGAGCCAGGAGCTTCTTCCATGTCTATCACAAGGGTGCAGAGGCTCAAGGACTTGAGCCATCTCCCATAAACCTCTTTGGCCATAAGCAAGTAGTTGGACGGCACTGGAATCATGCCCAGATGGGATGTCAGGGCCACAAAAACAAACCCAGCCTACTACACCAAGGCACCAGACCCATTACCCAAAATTTCTAATAGGGGTTATTGAGAAAGAACTGCTACATAAAACCAGTCTAACAAGACTGGAAGAGATGAATCTTCAGTCTAATGCACAGAATGCAAAACAAACAGCCAAGAAAAATGAAGGAACAATGAAACATGTTCCAAATAAAACTATAAGATAAATCCTTAAAAATCAACCCTAACAAAAAAAATATACGATACATCTGAAAAGAACATTTCCAAAAAAGAATCATAAAGACTGTTTTCTCAGGTGAGGAGAGCAATACATGAGAAAAGAATTTAACATACGTCATTGAGTAGAAGTACATAATAAATGAACTAAAACTTTCAATTCAGGGGTTATACAGCACACTAGATCAAACATAAAAAGGGGGAGGGGACGACTGACAAACCTGAAGATAAATTATGAGCAATCAACCAATCCTAGCAGCCAAAACAATTGTAGAGTTTTAAAGGACCTGTGGATGCCCACAAGAGAGTTTTATATGCATTATTTTGCTACAGGAGGCAAAAAGAAGGAAATGGACAGAATATAAATTCAAAACAATATTGGCAAACATCTTTTTAACTCGAAGAAAATAGAAACCCTGACACAGCAAGCTCAATGGGCATCTAATACGCTGAAGCCCAACGGATCCACACTAGAACATTTTATTAACAAATTATCAAAAGTTAAAGACAGATATGGAAAGTTACCAGGGAAAAAATGATTTATTACATACAAGGAAGACTAAGAAACTTTCAAAAGTTCATAAAAATGTGTATTGCTAAAAAGTGCATTTAAAAAATTTTTAAATTTTTGCATCAAAATAATTTGACCCTTTATTCAATTTTCCTAAAACAGTTTTGAAATATTCTCTTACCTGAAGATTGTTCATCAAACACCATGTAGGCCACAAGAAAATGAGATGATATATTCAAAAAAGCAAAACAAAGAAGGTTCAATCAATACCATACACAGCACTCCTGTCTTTCTTTTTTTTCTCTTAAGATTATTTATTTTTATTGGAAAGTCAGATTTACAGAGATAAGGAAAGACAGAAAGAAAGATCTTTTGTCCGCTGGTTCACTCCCCAAGTGGCAACAACAGCCAGAGCAGAGCTGATTGGAAGCCAGGAGGAGCAAAGGGGTTGTTCCGGGTCTCCCACATGGGTGCAGAATCCCAAGGTTTTTGGCCATCCTCGACTGCTTTTCCAGGCCACAAGCAGGCAGTTGGGTTGGAAGTAGAGGAGCTGGAACATGTACCAGTGCCCAAATGGGATCCCAATGAATGCAAGTGAAGGACTTTAGCCACTAGGCTACCACACCGGCCCCAATCCTGTCTTTCAAAAATAAAGGTGACAATAATTTTGTCAGATAAGCAAATACTGAGCAAATTCATTACCACGTAATTGCCTTACAAGAAAAGTTAGAATAAGCTCTTCAAACTGCAAGAAAATGTTGCTATGTGACAACATGAAACTGATTTTTTTTTTAAAGTGTCTAAACTCAGCTCGTGTTGTAGTGGTGGTGTGAAAATCAATTATATCTCTAACATGCAGGTTAAAAGAAAAAACTATCACAATTATGATACTGTGAGAAATGACTGAAATGCCAAAAGATACAAAATGTTTCATCAAAAATAAATTGTGGCAAGGGTAATCATGTAGAGGTTATTCAAGTGATTAAAGTTAAATTATCAGCTTAAAATGGACTGTTTGTAACATGTTTTACAGAAGCCTCACAAGCTAACTACAAAGGAAATTTTTTGAAGATAACAACGAGGAGGAAGAGATTCAAAGCATAACACAGTAAAAAGTCAAACTACAGAAGGAGATGGCACGAAAGGAACAAAGGAAATACATCACAACACAATGGAGAGAAGAAGCGACAGTAAATCCTTATTTGCCGATAAGTACAGATAGTACCCAACTCCAAATGGATTGACTTAAACTTTACAATGTGATAGATATTCAGTGAATACCCAAGATTTTGAA